ATGCATTTTTCAACTCTTGAGTTCAAAGGTTTTCACAAATAGTGATGCCTTTTCCAACTCTTACTTAAGTGCTTTTTTCAATATCCCAAGTTGGGTATTTATAAGAAAATGCATGAGTGTGAAAAGCTCTCCCATCAATGTGGGAGAATTTGATTTTCCCATTTTATTTTAAATCTAAAATAAAATTAATAATCAAACTAGTAATAAATCAACAAGTGGCAAGCATACAAGGAGGAGTAGGTGAGGACCATTTGGAGGAGGGGGGACCAAACTTGCCCCCCACTCTAGCTCCCATAACCAGCCACCTCTCACTCTCTCCCTCCAATTACTTTCGGCCACATGGTAGCTCACTTGGGCACCCATGGCATTATCGTGGGCTGCCATGGTGCGGTTGTGTGGCCTCAGCCCAGCTCTCCTAGCGCTCAAACCGTGGGCTGCTGGTTGCCACAGCCTAGCAAGCCACGCACCAAGTGTGCGGGCTACTAGCTGTCGTATGCTAGCACAGCCACACACACTTGGTGCGGACTGCTAGCTTTTTCCGCGCCCCTAGCACTCAATTTTTTCCGATGCTAGGGGTATTTTGGTCATTTGTTGATTTATTATTATTTTCACGTCTTGTATTTTTACTATTTTCGATTCGACTTCCGACGCTCGGTTTCGACGCTCCAAGCTCGAATTTTCGGCGTCTAAATATTAATTACTCGGTTGACTTATTAATTAATTCACCGCTTCGGCTCGTTAGTTGCTTGGGTGTGACCCGAAGGGTTCAGTCAAGATTAAGCTGTAATATTAATTATGCATTAATATTACTGATCGGAAGCGGCCTCCATACGGGCATTCCGATCACTTTACCTCACTGAAAAAATTAACTTTCCAATAATTCCGAACCCTTTATCGGAATAATACACTTGTTCGAATGACACCATTCCTTTCATATATCACATTCAAGATTCTCGTAGCAGACCCATCCTTCACATAGATCATGCAAATCCTTAACAACATTAGAAAGTCACCTTGCCAATGTTTTTTACAAACATACAACAATGCAAACTATTAAAGCATAAGATCTTGTTTATATATAAATGTAAAGTCAATGTGTTTAAATGTAAAAATATCAAGTTACTTACACTTTAACTCGCACCAAAAAAGAATCTTCGAGGACCAGAAGACTCAAAACATGCTAACTCATCAAATACAGAGCAAAGCAATCAATAATGCACCGTCGAATCCTAAGTGGAGCGGCAAGGGACACCATATCTTCTCTTTGAACTAGAAAATTCATTCCAAAAGTCATAAGGTTCTCACTGCAACGATAAAAACTACGATAAACATTAAAAAAATAAAGGAAAAAAAACGGATAAAAAAAATTATGATAGAAAATGGCACTTAACTTCCTAAACATTGATTCATCCTTCAACAAACAATAATCAAGAACATCGAAATGTAACTGAGGCAAACTCTTGAAAATCCGAGCATTACCCTTTAAAAAAATAGTCACAAAAGGTACATTCTGGCCTACTGGCCCACAGTCCAGTGAGCATAGAGATTTATTGGATCTGATAATACATTCAGGAACATTTTCATTAGGTATAGGAACATTTTCATTAGCTCTAGGAACAACGTCTTTATTTCCAAGAACATCATCATTAGCTCTAGGAACATCGTTGTTAGCTCCAGGAACATCATCATTATTTCCAGGAACATCTTCATTATTACGTTGTTCAAGACCATACAGTTCACGTAACAAGTCATGTGCAAACTTCATCTTAATACACTAGGATCAGAGAGTAACTCTTGAGTTTGAGAAACTGCAACTGGATCCTCATAAGATAATGAAATAGTTCTTTCCGAAAGAATATTGGAAACCAAATCACTTAAGGTTTTAAAACCATTTCACCGAACACTTGGTTGAACATCCATGTTTCTTTTAAAGAAAAGGAATGATTCATGAACAACCTACAAACATACAAACAAAAAAAAAGTAAACAAATGTGACAAAGAAAAATAATTAAAAAAAAAAGTTACTGAAACTGAGTATTTACTATTTAGGGTAACTTTAATGCACAGAAAGGGTAACTTTAGTGCACATAAAGGGTAACTTTGTGCACATAAAGGGTAACCTTTTTTGTACATAAAGGGGCTAAACATATTTAAAAAAAACACTTACATCATTTGAAATTTATTTTATTTCATCATCAGTCATCACACCTTCTAGAAGCTTAAATTGAACAAAGCGGTCAATTGTACCACTTGAAGAAGCACCACCAACTTTTAAACAACCCTGATTAGATCCTAAAGTAAGCGGATGCTTAACAACAGTTTGGCTAATAGCAAGCTGTGACAAAGGATACGTAGAAGTATCCAATGGTCCCTGCCCAAAACCACCAGCTTTAATCTCTAAATTAATCCAACTCTTAATCTTAGCATTTGTCCAATGTTGAATCAAAGAAATACTACAACTTTCCTTTACTCCTTGCAAATTTAAACGATGAAAATACAGAATTTGCAAAACCACCAAACATCCACTAACATTTTGAACAGTTAGATCATTGTTATACTTATCAACAGACTTCTTTAACTTCTTCAAAACATAATAACACCAATCAAAAGTTTTTATTTCATCAACTTCTTCAACAGCCTTAAGCAACTTCAATGAAACAATCCTATTAATAGTAGGAGCTAAAAAAAACTAGACATAGCATGAACCACAATATACCTCTTAAATTCTTCCCCTCCATCAACCACAAGTCCTTCATCCAAGACTCCAATTTTGACAAAGGAAGAGCTTGCTTATCAGAAAGATCAAAATCAAATTTATTAGTGATATAATATTAGATTATAATTTTATCGATAATAAAACTCTATGAAACAATTTTATCTTAAAAAATCTATCCAAAAATTGCTTACTTAGCATCATAAAATTTGTGTCAAAATAATACCTATTTATCTCTTACATGGCGCGACACTTGGAATGCCAAGTGTCGCTGTCTTGTGGCCTGTCTGCGAAACCGGCTTTATTTATTAGTGATATGATATGATACGATATTAGACTAGTTTGGTCCCTGTGTGATGCCCATGTAGTAGGCATGTAATTACTATAATATTGGTGTAAATGTTCGATTTAAAAAATTATATAAAAAATAGCAAAGTAAGCTTGAAATATGTAAAATATCTAAAAATTAGCCAAAAATAAATTAAACAAAAAATTTTCTAAGCCCGTTAGGTTGACCCGGACCCCGAAAGTTCAGGTTGGCGTTGAACATTTCTTAACCCATGATCTGAAGTGACTCGACCCGAAATGACTCGTGACCCGACGCAATTGACTGTTTTACATACAATAATAAAATCATACTTAGATTATGAAGTATTTTATTTCAATTGATTTGAATATAATATAAATGAATGTTGCACGTTTTGAACTACGTTACTTCCTTCCCTCCAAAAAAATTATGATATAAAATAAATTTATATGATAAATTATTTAATTGTTGTCTACATGGCGCAACATTGAGTTAAAGCGTTACGTGTTATTGTCTCGTGACCTAGCCAAAAGTTTAGCTTTATATATTAGTTATATTTTAGTTCTGCTTTTATTTAAAAAGTTAATTGATCAAACACCATTAAAATAATGAAATTTATTGATATACAACAGTGGTAAAATTTTATCAAACTAGTACTATGTGTATGAATAGTGTCAAAAGTCAATTAATGCTAATATTGAAGATTGGAAGTATAACACGCACTCCCTCTATTTCTTTTTAAGTGCATCATTCAAATTTTATTGGTGTGACAAAATAAAATAAGGTCCATAAAATGCAAAGAACTAACTATAACTATAAATCTTGTTATAACATACGGAGTACAATTTTATCTATTTATTTTTTCACAAGAAGAAAAAGGGATTTCAGTAATAAAATATATTCAAATTACACTTACATATAATTCCTAAGAAATCAAGAATTTCAACACAAGTATACACCTTAAAACTAAATACATTGTAGATTTGATTAAAAATTACCTTAATAAAAAAACTTCATCTAAAGCAATACAATATATGAGTTTGCAGTGATTCGGCTTGAAATCCACTGATGCGGAGTTGTTTGAGTGAGAATATTCATGTAATTCTCCGAATTCTTGTATAGATTATGAAACCCTAGATCTTCAATTTTTGCCATACAAAAATAAAAAGAAAATAAACTCATGAGAAATCATCTCAAGGATGAGATTTATTTATTGAAAACAATTAAAAGGATTTTGGGGTTTACCACCGGTAAGAACATCCATGGAAGCCCCTATAAAGAATCAAAACTGAGACCAAGAGGAAAGAGATGGTAGAGATGGAGAGAAAAGGGTGAAGAGAACAGGAAACCCTTCAAAAAATAATTAAAAATAACTAGTAATGGAGGCTAGGAAAATCCTCTCAAGAGAGAAACCCTAAAAGGAACAAAAACCCTTCTAAAGAGAAAATTTCAAGGAGACTATGACGTTTGTAAAAAATTAAATTACAATTCAAGAAGAACACGTGTTAAGATAAGAGTGATATTTAATTATAACCCTTACATTTTTTAAACGGAGTATAATCCATTTTTTTTCACATCCATTTACAAGGCATGTTCGATGCTAGCGATTAGCGATTGAGTAGCTTTTAGTAGTTTGACCAAGATAAACCACAACTTAACAAAAAATGTGAATGTTTGACAAAGTAGTGGCTACTGGCTAGGGTAGCTTTTAGTGAAGGAGGTAGCTTTTATGAAAAGTTATAAATAATAGCTTTTGAAAATAGAGATAGTTTTTGAGGAAGCTGTTGAAAATTTAATATATACATTACCAAACACTCATAGCTAAATTATCTATCTTCACAGGTACAACTTGTTGACAGCTAAAAGTTATCTACACGACTTACAGCTAACAACTATCTTCACACCTATATTTTGCCGAACACGCCTTTAATCCTATTAATGGAGTTGTTTGTATTTGTTATCAGGTCAAATTATATTGTTTCGGTTCCTATCAAAGTTATGAAATACAAATTGGATGACCAGCTAAAATCAAGTCAATTAGGTTGGTTTTGAGAGCCCAAATTTTCAAATACAATTGGGTCGTCCAATTTCGGTTGATATCAGACAGTTTCTCTAACCATAAAACCCAACACAACTTTCAGCCCATTCATTTCGCGGGAATTTCACAAGAGGCGGTTACACTTCCAACGTTGATCATATCATTTCCTCATTTCACAACGACGTCGTCAAATTCAATCGAAACAACATCAAAACCATCTGGTGAATTAAATTAAAAAGTTCAAAAAAAAAAAAAAAAAAAAAAAACTTCCACAAAAAACCACCATTAACGTACTGACAAATTTACCCACTTTCTCTCTCTTCTTCGAAAAGGGTTTTTGTAGGGGTTTTATCTCTTCCAATTTCAATTATCAAACCCATCTCATAAAAAAGTTTCCAACTTTGGGGCAGAATTGAAATGGGTTCTTTGAATAATGGGGAGGAGAGAGAAAGAGAGGTTGAATTTGGTGATGAAGAAGATGAACCCATTTTAATGGAACAATCTGAAAGGTTCTGTATGTTTCCTGTTCGTTATAATCAACTTTGGGAGATGTATAAGAAAGCTGTTGCTAGTTTTTGGACTGGTTTGTTTCCACATTTCCTTCAATTCTCTTTTCAATGTCGTTTTTGTATTTTTCGGATTTTTGTTGGTTTTAGTTTGGGTTAATACATGAAAACCTCAGTTTGGAATTCTCAATTGTGTAATTTGAACAAGTAATGCGACAATTTAATTTACTCGGAGGAGTTTTGTTGGTTTTTTTTTTTTTTTGCCAATTGCTGGTCATGTTGGTTGGTTTTGTGTTGACGAAGTTTCTAAATTTGAGATATTTTTGTGAAAACAATTATGATTCATGCTAGTTATATTATGTTTTTGTGAAATGTGGGTGATAATGTTATGCTGTTTGTTAAGAATTTGATCAATATTTAGGGATTGTTTTGTTTGCTAAGCTTTAATTGGATGGGATTAGGACTCTGACATTGTTAAGGCGGTTTTTCGTAATCGTGTGTTAGACCCATGACTTAACATATCTGCGTGCTTGAAAATGTTGGAGAGGTCTTTTTGGATGGAATAGTGTGTTTGGTTGGTATTTATAGAGCAAGGAAGAGGGAGGGAAGGAACAGGTCAACATTTCACTTTTTGTGTCTTTCAAGCATTGGAATGATTTTGTCTTTGTAAAGATGACTGAATATTATCTCCTCGATAAACTTCGATTGTAAATTATGTGGCAAATTTGTAATTAAATCCCTCAATGTAGTTTAGGTAGAATCTGGGGATAATTTTTCTGTTGGATTTTGGAGCCTCAATAATGGGCTTAATTACTAAAAAAGTACTCTTAGGCATTTGTCTATGCTTAGGAAGAAGCAGAGATCATAATGATGATCTTAAACTGAGAAATCTTAGTAGATTCGGATGAAAATTGATAGATCCTTAGTATATCAAAAAGAAACCATTTGTTTAATGATGCTGTGAACTCAATTACTGTATAACGTTGCATACAATATTGGACTTTGAATGTCCTTCATTATACTGGCCTGGGTCTACAAATGTTTGCACTATACTTTCTTGTGAAGGTACGTGTTTCTTTTAGATTGTATTTTGTACCGTTCTGATGACTTGATTTGATTGTCCAAGATTCTAGTGTGTGTTTGTGTAGGTTATTTCATAAAGTAGCAGAGCTTTTAATGGACTATAGATGATTTTCTATCCATTTATCAAGTCTGTTGTTTCAAATATTTTGTCTACTTTATCTAATTAATTTTCTAATAATTGATATGCTACATTTGGTCCTCTTAGATTCACATCTATTATTGTTGAGCCCATGAGAAACCCACATGTGAGTGAAAGTGTTGTTCCACATTGAAAGAATATAAAAGTGAAGAGAAATATTGGGATGTGTATCCCACATTGAAGAAAAGAGAAAGTTGTGTCCACTTTATAAAGCTAAGGGGCTACTCCCCTCATTGCCATATGGTTTTGAGGTGGAACCTCCTTGGTCGTATAAAGTGGACAATTGTAACGGGTGTGACCTAGGCCCGTATCAGAGCCAAGTTGGGTTGTGTTGTGTTCTGTGCCAGTATTATGTTATTATATTGTTAAATTACGGTTGCAACTGTTCAAGTTCTTGTAGTGTTTTTTTTTTAATGTAGGTATCCTTTTTTTTTTTTCTTTTCCCCTTATGTTACGCTTTAATTTTGTTTGTCTGTTGTGTATAGTTCTTTTAACAACAATTCTGCTCTTTTTCTGCAATTACAGCTGAGGAGGTTGATCTCTCCTCTGACGTGCAGCAATGGGACTCTTTATCGGATTCAGAGAGACATTTTATAACTCATGTACTGGCCTTTTTTGCTGCGTCTGATGGGATTGTTTTGGAGAACCTTGCTGCAAGATTTTTAAATGATGTAAAAATTGCAGAGGTGAATTTCTCTGAATGATTTCGAATAGCCAGACAAGATTTGTTTCCTTGTTGTCATAGTTCCATGATAGAAGACAAAAAATTTATTATGTGCTTGGTTGAATGTTATGTTATTTTATAAGTAATGCCCAGCTAAACAATTTGTTACTAGTCTTACTAGATTTTATTTGTTAATTGACACCTGTTTGCTTAAAAAAAAATTGTTCTTGAAGTTTCATTTTGTGAGATAACTGTATCCAAATTTTAATGCCCTGTTTTATTGGGCATGATGGCACAAATGTTTTAAAGTTTGTTTGTATGATTTAATTTATATTTGGCCAAAGATTTCTTGGTCTTTTTCCTTACGAATCACTAGCGAAGATTTATATACTAAGGCATTTGGACTTTGAAAAGGTCTAGATTTCTGTGATGTTTGTTGATGAATGTTCTTTTCTCTTTGTGATGGAAGACAAGAATGGAGGCTTTATAATATATATTGTGTATCCTCTTGGTGTTTGTTTTGTTATCCTTGCTCTGATGATATAGTATGATGCGTGCTTTGTTGAGGTTGACTGACTGTCTTTTTTGATTTTTGGTTTTTAACTTATAAAGGCTCGAGCTTTCTATGGATTTCAAATTGCAATGGAGAATATACATTCTGGTAAGATCTAGACTCGTAGTGTTTATTTTGCATTCTTCATGAGGATTAAGGCATTAAAAGTACGAATTTTTCTTCCTGTTCACAGAGATGTACAGTTTGTTGTTGGAGACATATATTAGGGATTCTAAAGAGAAGAACCACTTGTTCAATGCCATTGAGACAATTCCATGTATAAAGAAGAAGGCAAACTGGGCTTTAAATTGGATTCAGAGGTAGCATTGCCTTATGGTTTTGTAGGTATTGTAGCAAAAGTTGTATAAGTACCATCTTATAGGTTTTAGTAATGATGAAGAAGTTTATTCAATATCAGCTAGCCATCAGGTAGTTGTGTTCAGATATTTTCTTCTTACTTGATTGTTGGTATAAGTTTTATTCTGCTTGTTTATGATTAGATTTTTTTTTCAACTTGCAAGCAGTCTAATTACAATTTTCACCCTAAACTTTATCTCGATCTTAGACTTGAGGTCAAGATTGAAGCTGCTAAGTACTTAAAGCTATTGTATTTAGTTCTGTTCAGGAAAAAGAGCTCTTATAAAAATTTGCATGATTTGTCACTTAAATGATACTTAAGTATCTCTTATTTAATCTCATGGCCTTGGAATCGTAAAGTCAAACTGTATTATTTCCCTTGCTTTGTTAAGACTGAACTATTAGTAATCTTATTTGGAATATTATCCACATGTGTTTGTTGTGCAGTACAAATTCTTTTGCAGAAAGAATTGTTGCATTTGCTTGTGTTGAAGGGATCTTCTTTTCAGGAAGGTGTGTTTTTACTTGATTTAATATTGCTCTCTTTATTCATTGTGCAACTCACACTGTGGTTAGTGATATGTTTTATTTATTTACTTTTTATTTTTTAAATTTCAGCTTTTGTGCCATATTTTGGCTTAAAAAGAGAGGCATGATGCCTGGTTTAACTTACTCGAACGAGCTTATATCAAGAGATGAAGGCCTACACTGTGATTTTGCCTGTCTTCTGTACAGGTCTCTATTCTCCACACTTTAATCTGTTGCTTTTGAGCTTCTTATGGCCTGTATGCTCTCCAGTTCAGTTGTCTTTTTGAAGCTCTTGTTTCTTCCTCTGTTAATGGTGCACTATCATTTCAAGTTTGATGCAGTGCATTTGACTGATGCTTTTCCTCTTTTCCCTTTGTTCTGTGCTCAATGTAATGACAATTTTCCAGTTTGCTGCATAAGAAATTGCAGCCAGAGACAGTTGAAAAGATTGTGCATGAAGCTGTTGAAATTGAGACAGAGTTTGTATGTGACGCACTTCCGTGTGATTTGATTGGCATGAATGCTGTGCTCATGAGGCAGTACATAAAATTTGTTGCTGATCGACTTCTGGTACAGTTGATGTCATTTTAATTAGTTCTTTGGATTTTTTTTAATGAAGTATTTAGGAAATATCATTGATACATATGAGGGTGCTAAATTATCATTGATGTTGCTCTCACTCTTTCAGGTGTCATTGGGGTGCCAAAAGAAATACAATGTGGCAAACCCTTTCGATTGGATGGAGTTCATATCACTAACGTAAGTATTATGAGTCTACTTTGATTAATTTTGGAGCTAGTGACAAATACTCAACCTTATACAGAGTAATACTATAAATGATATTTTAAATCAAAGCATGTGACCATATCGTCTACACGAGTTCAAGGAGCTGAAACTGCTCTGGCTGAACTGTCTGTTTAGCTGTTCTGTGCTAGTTACTTGATCTGTTAAAATAAAAGGTTTTTTTGCTTCTGACCCTTTTTTTCACCCTATTTCTAAGAAACTAATTTCCTACTCAGATTTTATCTTTTTTTTTTGTTGAAAATAAAAATAGCCAAGGGTAAAATATGCTGAATCTTAGTGACATATGATACAAGTCATATTTTGAATGTCATTGTGTGTCTTGCAGCCTTGCACTATCATTTTCTTCTCATCTTTGACACCTCATTAACACATAAAATTCAATTGTTTAGTGATATTGGTATATACGGATAATGTAATTTAGATAAGAGACAATGGTTGTAATATTGATCGAGACATGTTATGTACTTGGAAATTGTGGGGGGCAAATTATATAATCACAAGTCCTTTTTAAATCAAGATCATGGAATAAAAGTGTGCTTATAATATATTCTGAGCACTTGTTTAGTGTTTATACGGCTTAGACTTCGAGTCTTGATTTGCCATAACTTATGCAGGGGAAAGGCGAACTTCTTTGAGAGAAGGGTAGGTGAGTATCAGAAGGCATCTGTGATGTCTAATCTAATGGATGGTAACAAGAACTTTGTGTTCAAGCTGGATGAAGATTTTTAGTGTTGATTCGTTTGATATTGGGAAAGAGTGATCCAATTTGTTTGGGTATATTCTTTTTTGTTTATAGTAGTGGAACATTTGCTGTATGTTAGTCTGGAGTAGCCTTATATTAGAAGACAAGGTATCTGTATTTTTATTTATACTTTTTAGATGTGTAAACCTTTTGATATAAATATGTTATTTATGTTTTACAATACTATTTGTATAATGAGTTTGGTATGATTGCTAAGCATGCTTGGTTTAGGAGGATTCCCACCTTGGAATCTTGAATTTTGCTGTATTGTCCTTTTAGGTGGGCTTTCCTTGTGCCCCCTGCCTCGCCCTCGTCTTCCAACTTACAAACAAAGGTTTAGTTTTTATGATAGGATTGGGTCGACTCTTGAGGGGTGCTCCACTATTACTAATGATAATTGGAGAAACACCAAATAATTGGACTCCTAGTGTATGATAAACTTTTTATACTTTCGCCCCCTTAAATTTAGTTCTATGAATATATAACTAACATTTTCACGTGAAATCGACTTGTTCTAAAAAAGGTATAACCCATATGGATCCGATTTACGTGGCAAACATCTGGTAGCTAATCCGTCAATAATATTATTACTCGAGTAAAATTATGCATGCAACCTAAAGTAGTTGTATTAGCACCAATTAGTAGGTAAGCTTTACTTCTCAATGTTGGTGGGAAAGGTAAAGTTTTGCAATCAGCCAAAAAAGAACACTAGTACAAAAATGTTCATACATAATCATGATAATCATCTATTATCCCTAATTATATGGCTGACTTTTATGACATTCGTCCTTAGCCCTTAATAATACATGAGGTAATCTAATCACTTAACTTAAAGACTTTTTATGCTAATACAAAGTTCATTGTCAATTAATGATGAAGACCCTAACAGAATCATCCACTAGTGCTCACCTACCAAAAAAGTCATGCAAAAAATAAATTGGGAATAAAGTTGCTAAAAAAGTAGGCAGTTTGATGAGGAAGTAAGGGATAAGTTGAACTTTTATTCATACCTAATGAAAACAAAATATCATCACTATCACAATTTCACAATTGGGTGTTGTGATGGGGATCTCAACTCATGTCATTTTCTTCACCTACCCTCTAACCACTTATGTTAGGGTGGGTATCTTGATCGAGAGGAATTTTAAAGGGAGGAATGTTAGGCATTTAGAAATGCATAACAAAGGGTATTCATGTAATTATGCATATGTACAAACGAATAAATATTCTGATATCAAATGGTACCATTGAATATACAGTGATACTATATGTGCACATAATGGTATTATATATGCATTTAGTTGTACTAAATTTATGCTTAAATAGTACCACTGAGGATTCAATGGTACTATATAAACTTTCAGTGGAACAATCAGCATGTGGTCCCCCATCACGTGATACAATCCGATCAAAAAATAGGTGTGGTCCACCTACATGCCTCTCTCTTCCTATCTCTCTCCTCATTTCTCTCTCTACCATGTGTTTTTATAATATTTTAATCAATGTTATGCATTAGTAAATGCATAACTTTCCTCCATTTCTAGTTCCTCCTTCATCAGTTTATTATATAATCCTATGTTGTGGTCTTGTGGATAAAATCCGATTGCGGATGGATCAATCATCGGTAAAGTTGTGGCCTTGTGGAAAGTGGTATATCACGTATATGTTACGGATATGTTGTGTCTATGTCCTTATTTTTTATGCCCATTATATTTGTTTGCTTGTAGAAAAAGTCTAAATCCTTTGGAATAAACAATTGGATTTCAAATGTAGCAACGTAATTATGTAGTACTAAATTAATTAAAATGTTAGGAGGTGATGATAAATTGCAAAAATGTAGAGTCAAATATCTTGTACGTTTTCATTTTTAATATTCTTACAATTTTGTTGTGATACAAAATTGTTGAAAAATATAGAAATTTTAATTACCAATTTAGACAATCAAGTATGATGATATTATACCAAATTATTCTTTTTTTTTTTTTTTTTTTGTCAGGGGTTACTCGAGTTACTCAGTCAGAGGTTACTTTTTTTTTTTTTTTAAGGGGGGAGATTAAAATTCATTAATAATAAGCCATACGACACTTACATAAGAAATCGTAATCGAATAATACAAAGACAAAAGAACCAATTACAAATTCGAAATAAAGGAAACTACAATTGCACGCGCAGAATGACTTTCTAAGATACCCTTGGCTCATATAACGCTGTCCTATGCAGCCTCTTGCAAAGGGTTCAGGCAATATGTTGTAGTTTTTGACGAGAACCTTCATTGGCTCAAAATCCTGTACTCCTCGACCTGAAATCAAAATTGGTGTCGTACATTTCACCCTTGATAAGACAATCTCCAATTTAAACACAGATATCGGCATGGAAGCATAACCCTTTAGCCCAAACCAACAGAAGATCAAACCAAAGCCCCATAGCCAAAAAACCCGGTTCAAATCCTGCACCAGAAGATCGGTATACCGATCTGCACACCCCATAGCACACCAACACACCACACAAAAAGAAAAACTAACAGACCCAAAAAACACACAAAGACGGAACACAGGAAACCCAAACACTACACACACCACTAATAGAAAAAACAGGAACAAACTTAAAAACAAGAACTACGAACGGAACCTTAACAACCCACCCCGCCGCCACTCCGAGCACAACCACCAAAGCTCCGAGGTTCACCAACCCAAACCACCTACCGCCTGACAATAAAACCCGAACCACCAAGGCCCGCCCGAGAAGCCCAAACCCCCCACACCCCTGAACCGCGGCCGCGACGACCCTACGCGAGAGACTAAGAACGGCCCTACGCGAGGGACTCAGAGGGATCTCCTTCCCCGTTCTCGAAAACAACGACGCAACGACGGACAAAACGGAGGGGCATAGACACGGCGGGGAAGCGGAAACCAAAACCGGCGGCAAGCCGGCAGCAAGGCCGGTGAGGAAACGGAGCGGCCGAAAATGGGAAGCGGTGCACGATGCTAGGCCGAAAATACAAAAAACCAAAACGAAAACTAAGACGCAAACGAGAAAAGAAAAAAACCAACTAAGGGAGTAAATCGGAGGCTCGCCGACGCTATTGCATGGGCGGTGAGCCGCACGCCGGCCGGCGAGCCTCATGGCCAGAGCAGTTAGGGAAGCCGAAAGGTTTTTGAGAGAGAGAGGGGGACGCTAGAGAGAGAAAAAGCAACTTTGAAACATCACATGACTTTACAAATTCAGTCAAAGGTTACTTGAGGGGCTCGAACAGGGGTTACTCGAGGGGTTCACTCGTCAAGGGTTACTTAAGAGGTTACTCGATCATGGGTTACTCAAGTTACTTGGTTAGGGGTTATTCGGTCATGGGTTACTCGACTTACCCAATTAGAGGTTACTTGAGTTACTCGATGAGGGGTTATTTAAGGAGTTTTGTCAGGGTTACTCGAGTAATTTATTCAGGGATTACTTAAGGAGTTCGATTTAGGTGTTACTCGGTCAGGGCCTCAGGGGTTACTTGAGAGTTCAGTCAGGGGTTACTTGAGGGGTTACTTAAGGGGTTACTCAGTTAGGAGCTACTTGAGTGGTTACACAATTAGAGATTACTGAAGGGGTTCGGTCATGGGTTACTCAAGGGGTTACTCGGTTAAGGTTACTTGAGAGTTACTCAGTCAGGAGTAACTCAAGTAACCCCGGACCGAGTAACTTGAGTAACCCGACAACTCGAGTAACCCCTGACCGAGAAACTCGAGTAACCCCTGACCAAGAAACTTGGCAACTCAAGTAACCCCCAACCGAGAAACTCAAGTAACCCCGGCAACTCGAGTAAACCCTGACTGAGAAAGTTAAGTAACCCCGACAACTCGAGTAAACCCTAACCGAGAAACTTAAGTAACCCCGACAACTTGAGTAACCCATGACCAAGGAACTCAAGTAACCCCGAAAACTCAAGTAACCCCGGACCGAGAAACTCGGGTAAACCCTACCGCCAGTACGGCTGAGAAAAACTACCCAAAAAACCGAAAACCCGTTTCGTTACCGTTCCGAAAATTAGGGTACCCGATCCGATAACCATAATGGTTCGGGTACCCGTTCCGATAATTTGTTATCAGGTATGGTTTTTGGGTATTATTTTAAAATTAACGATTACCCGTTCCAATCCGATAAGCAATTTTTTTTCCACGTAAATCTATATTTCCAATATTTAAACTCTTACTTTACCCCACAATCATTATATAATATTAGCACTGTTAAAACGGTTTGACAGTTCGGGTTCGGTTCGGTTTGAAATCGGTTCGGTATTAAATCGGGTCGGTTTGAAATCGGTTTAAGTGTCTCGCGGGTCGGTTTCAGTTCGGTTTAAATAGTTATCGGTTCGATTCGGTTTCGGCTTATTCTTGAGCGGTTTTAATTCGGTTCGGGTTGTAAACGGTTCGGTGCAGCCGGGTTGCAGTTTTTTAACGGTTCGGTGTAAACGGTTTTTATACCGGATCAAACAGTTTCGGGTTGGAAACGGTTTCGAGTTAGAAACGGTTCGGTTCTTTTTCGGTTCAGTTTTATTTTGGTTCGGTTTGTTAACGGGTTTGCCTTTTATATGATTTAACGTTATTCGGATCAGTTCCAATTCACGTTTACTAAATTATGGTTCGGAACGGTTTTTTATTTCAAAAAGTCAATTTTTAATCGGGTCGTTTGAATTCGGGCAGTTAAACGATTTTGGTTTGAAGTTTCATAGTACTTGCTAACCTTTTGTTGGTTAACAAGTTTTATATCAAGCCAAGACTTTATCACTTCATATTTAGGCATTAGGCATTATATTATATACAAATTCTCATAAATTTCAAAAATACATATCATGTTATTTCAAGTTTAGTCATACTGATCTTACTAGTTTATTACAAAGTAACGTAGATTATAAAAGTTTAGTGTATTAATGAATTATTATTGTTTGACTATCACATTATTAGTTGCTTCTTATTCAATCAACTAATTGATGTGTCATAATCATGATTTGATGAGTTATTGTGACGTCGAAATTACAGTTTGATTTATAGACGGTTCGGTTTGTAAGTGGTTCGATTTATAAACAGTTCGGTGCAAACGGGTTGCAGTTTGTTAACGGTTCGGTGTAAACGGTTTTTACCTCGGTTCAAACGATTTCGGGTTGGAAACAGTTTCGGGTTAGAAACGGTTCGGTTCTTTTTCGGTTCGGTTTGATTTCAGTTCGGTTTAGAACTGGTTCGGTTTGTTAACGGGTTCGGTTCTTATACGGTTTGACATTATTCGAATCGGTTTGGTTTCGGGTTTACTTAAATACGGTTCGGGTCGGTTTTCGATTTTACAAAATCGGTTTTTAATCAGTTCGATTCTCATTTGGGTCGGTCGGTTTCGGGCAGTTAAACGGTTTCGGTTTGAAATTTGACAGCACTATATAATATCAATGATTAGTAACATTATTAATAATTTGGTCAAGATCATGTGGTATTGTTGTTAATTAGTGTTAAAAAAATATCATAATAACTAATTTATTAAGTTTAATTATCACTTTTGGATACGTTATTGGGTATCCGAAGTCCGGATACCCGAACTTATCGATTCGGTTTATGGATATCACTTTTAGTGATATTGGTTATCAAGTACTCGAACCGTTAGCACTAACGGTACGGGTACTCGTCCCATGCTTAATCCTACCGCACAGTATAACAAGCTGCATACAAAAAATTGTGTCTACCATAATAATGTCAAACTTCCCAATTTGTTTAACTTTACATAATCTTAGGCGATTTATTTGATTGTTGTTTTTTAATTGCCAGTTGGGAGTTTTACACTTATCAATAAGTATCTTATTGAAATATTTTTATTGTTTTTGATATATACTTATGAAATGTTATTTAACCTTTAATTATATCTTAACAGGTTATAAAGATTAATACAGAGATCTGTTTTTTTTTTTTTTTTGACAAATAATACGGAGATCTTAAAAAAAGAAATAAAATCAAACTAAAAAAACCAAATACTCTGTTCTCTCTCCTCTAAAAAGAAAACCCTCTTGTAACCTAGAACTCACCGGAGTTCCGGCGCCGCGGCCGGTTCTCCGGCGGGTTCCTCTTCTATGTATTAAGCTTTTCTTTTCTAGCGTTCTAGCGTTGAAGGTGAAGTGGAACCAGGCTCCCAGCGGGCTTCAAACTCCGCTTAGTGTTTAACCTCTTCTCGCCGGAAATTCTCAAGGTGGTTTTCTCACTTTTTAAGTTTAAAGTTCTAGTAGCTTTGTGATTTGGGTACTCGAGGGTAAGAAGGTCGTTTTCAATTGGGTTTAAAGTTTCGTTTGACAAAACAAGATTCGAAGGCTACCTCTAACGCCGCCGACTTCACGTGATCGAAAAGATCGAGTTGGTAAAGGTAAAGTTAGAGTAGGCTAGCTCTAACGCCGCCGACTTCGTGTGATCGAAAAGATCGAGTTGGTAAAGGTAAAGATAGAGTTAGGGTTTGTTCGTTTTCTTGCGTTGGGCTTTATTCTCGTTCCTTTAATTTCCTCTACCCATTTTCTGTTTATGTCACCATTTCGGGTTTGTCTCTTGGTTGTCTTGTCGCCGGTGATGTTAGTCCAGTTTGACCTTCACGGTAAAGGCGGTAATCGGAGGCTGGTGACTGTTGGTTGGTTTCTTGCTTATTTTATGGCTTTTTTGGTTTAATTTTAGTTTTCCTTGCTTCTATGGGTCTTTGCTATGAGTTTGATGCTATGAGATGCGGTTCTCTTTGTTCTAATTGGGGTTTGTCAAGTTTAATTGTGGGTTTAAAGGGGTGTGTCCTGCTCCTATTTAGAATTTTGGTTATGCGAGGTTTGGGTTTGTGGGGAATTTGCCATTGTTATGGTATGGTTTAGTTCATATGGTTGGTTAGGGTTTGTTGTTTGTTTGTTGTTTCCTCTTTCGATTTTCTCAATCGAAAGAGTTTCAAAAGGTTGTCCCTTGATGTCCTTTGTTTCAGCTTAGTAGTGGATTTTCAATCTATTACTTTGAAAAATGCCTATCTTAACACTACTCCCCAAAATGAAATGTTTGGGGGCCTCCGAAAGGTTATTTTGGAGGTTTATAGTATGTCAATGGTCTCTTTCCTTGAGAAAGGATCAATGGTACCCACAATTAAGGGTATCGAATCACTTGTAAGGGTGATTCAATGTGTGTTGTTACGCCCTAATCGCTATGTTTTCCTACCCCATTTACTTATTAATATAGGCTCTCGGTGTCCTTTTCAACTCGTTAATATGTATGCCAGAATTTGTTTGTTCGTCGTCCTCCAATGCTTTCTCCAAGTTCAAGAGAATGTGGAATACATAATCAGAAAGGTGTGTTTCTCATTGCATGCTCAAAGGATAATGGCAGAATTTTCAAACCAACAAGATCAATTGTGGAAGTACTTTAATTTAATGTATTCTCGTTGTAATAGAGGAGGTAATAGTGCTCTTAGTTTGTAATACCTTCATTTTATTAATCCGTTGTAAAAAAAAAAAAAAAACAATTAAAAAGCTCAACTGCTATTTGTCGCTCTTAAATTACCAGGTAACGCTCCCTTTTTGACTTGAATGGACCACTATGCCCTTTATGCAATTTGGGTTATAAAAATGACCTTGTTCCCTATTTGGACACAATACATGAAACAGTCCCCTCACTTCACGACATTGCTGTCCCGAGCTTCCCCAAATCGGTCCCCACGACCTTGCAACCAAATCGGTCCTCACGACCACCTAAATTTTCTATTTTCAAAAATCGTTAAATTTTCCGACGGGTCTTGGGTCATGGACGGCGAGTGGAACATACGTACGCCGGAGAATGCGTCAGATCAGTCTGTAAGTTTTTTTTTTTGGTAATTAGGACATCCGCCTAAAATTTCCGGATGTCCTAGGTACATCCGCCTAAAATTTCCGGATGTACCATGGAACATCCGAAAATTTCAAGCGGAAGATAGGATCCGCCTAAAAAATCCGGATGTTCCATGGTACATCCGGAAATTTCAGGCGGATGTACCTAGGACATCCGAAATTTTTTGGCGGATGTCCCTATTAATTTTTTTTTTTAAATGTTAAGTACGTTTATTTAATTTTTTTTATGTTTATTAAGTTTTTTTTTATGTATTTTTTTTTCGTGGTCTTGTGATTATTGTTGTGATTTAGTATTTGATAATTAATGTAATTTTGTTGTATTAATATGATTATTAGTAATATGTTTATTTTTTTGTTTCATTATTATTATTATTATTATTATTATTATTATTATATATTATTATTATTATTATTGTTATTATTAGTAATATGTTGATATTATTGTTGTTGTTGTAGTTGATATTATTGTTGTTGTTGTTGCTGTTATTTTTATTGTTGTTGTTGATATTGTTATTATTAATTAGTAGAAATATAATTTTAATATTATTATTATTATTATTATTATTATTATTATTATTATTATTATATATTGTTATTATTATTATTTATTTATTAATTAATGTTATGGTCTTATAAATTGTTTTGTAGTTGTTGTTATAATTTTTTATTATCATTAATATTGTTATTGTTTTGTATTTGTTGTTATTATTATTAGTATTGTTATTAGTATTGTTATTATTATTATTATTATTATTATTATTATTATTATTATTAGTATTGTTTTTATTATTTTTATTATTTTAATTATAATTATTATTATTATTTTTGTTTTTATTATTATTATTTTGAGATAAAGCATGTTTTGTTTAATTTGTATAGGATATGGAATCTGAGGAAGGCGGTGACGGTGTGAATTATAGTGGGAATTTTGTCACCGATACGTTTTTTCCTACATGTGACGATGCTGTTACATGGGCTGATGGTGTTTCCATAAAATTGGGATTTATATTGGTGAAATCGTCTTATAACAAAACCAGAGATGGTCGGCCGTATCGGTATTTGCGATGTGATCGGTCACGAAGGAGCAAGCCGAGAGATTTGGAGAACGCAATACGGAAGGACACCAAAACCAAAGCTAATGGTTGTCCATTCTACATCAAGATATATTATGATGTCAGCACCGAAAGTTGGAAGATCATTGCGAAAAATAATCACACCGGGACACATAACCACCCAATGATTGTGTACCCAGAGGGTCACCGTAAAGTGAGCGGATTGAGTCCGGGTGCAAAACAGGTTGTGCGGGACATGACAAAGTCCAAGGTTGCTCCCTGTAACATCATGTCCACTATTGCCGAGCAATTTCCTGATGATCATCCAAACATCCGACACATTTACAATTGCCGAAATGACTTCAGGATGGAAATGTCCGAAGGAAGAGGAGTTGTTCAGCAATTTCTTCATCTGGCGAGAGAGAGTAAATACATTTACTGATTCACGAACGATGATCACAACGTTTTGCAACATGCATTTATGGTGCACCCGATCATGGTCAACATACTCCGCACATACCCACATGTCATAGGTATGGATTCTACTTACAAGACCAATCGATATAACATGCCTTTCTTTGAGATAGTAGGCGTGACACCGACAAACCAGAATTTTCTAGTTGGATATGTTTTCATGCGGGACGAGTGCACGGCTAGCTATCGGTGGGTGTTGCAGAGATTAAGGGAGTTGATTGGGTTTGATAAAGAGCCATCTGTATTTTTTTCAGACCGTGATCTTGGGCTATGTGCGGCTTTGAGAGAAGTCTTTCCAGGGACGTCACATTTACTCTGTCTATGGCACATCAACAGAGATGTGGAGGCTAAGGTGACGAAGATGTTTGGAAACAAGACTGTTGGTGTCAGTTTTAGAGCTGGGAGATGGTTCAAAATCGTGAATGCAACAACACAGGCGGAGTATGATCGTGCTCTAACTGCCATGCAAGTGAGGTGGGGAAAATATCCGGAAGTGATTCAGTATGTTCAGAGAACTTGGCTTTGTCATAAGGAGAAATTTCTGAAATTTTGGACGAACCAGGTTCTTCATTTTGGTAACACCACCAACTGCAGAGTTGAGAGCCAACATTCAGCAGTGAAAACTTGGTTAGAATCATCCACAGGTTAGTTGTATTATTTTATTAGTTGTTCTCGTTGTTACGTAATTGTAATTGTAATTGTATTTGAATTTACTAATTAGAATCATTGGCAGGTGCTTTGGATACCGTATGGGCCCGAGTCCATTGTCATATCGGTAATTGCATCATACAAATTCGTAATGACTTTGAGGCATCAAGGTCTAAAATTGGTCAGATGTACAGACAGTTGCCACTGTCACGTATAAATGGCAAAGTGTCTCAACATTGCTTGAAAGTTCTGGATAACGAGACGAAAAGGATGCGGGATTTGAGTTACCAGGTCCATGAACGGTGTGGATGTGCTATGCGTCTGACCCATGGTCTTCCATGTGCTTGCCAGATACATGATTCGATAGTTGCACATACAAGATTGTATAGCAGCCAAATTCATTCTTTGTGGAAGATACTGGTTATTGGTGATGGTGTTAACATTCCTGAAGTGGTAAATGATTCGACCGAGGAGGCTGCACATTTTCGGTCCCTAATCGACGAAGTCATGGAAAGTGACCCGGCCGTACGTCGAAATGTAACGTGAATCATTGAAGAGGAGCTACATCCAGATCATTCACACCTTGAAGAACCACATATCAACCTTAACACTCGTGGTCGACCGAAAAGAAATAACACCTGGCATGACCGTAGCTATTTCGAGCATGTGAACCGTCAACACACTCAATGTGGTGGTGACCCAGAACCAGGTAATACTAAAATTCTATATTTAATATAAAAATATGTAAACTTAATACTTATAGCTTTACTAATAATTTATCTTTTAATTTTGTGTTGTAGATCCAAGTGACATTAGTCAATGCAGGTATTTGAACTTGCTTCCAGCCCCAATGTTGCCGTACATTTCGTCTTGGAAGGATGTCATTGGTGATGGGAGCTGTGGCTTTCGTTGTGTCGCCGACTTCTTCTTTGGCGATCAAAATAAGTGGTTTGACGCTCGGGAAACAATAGCGAACGAGGTCGCTGGTCATCCTGATTTGTACGAACGGATTTACGGGCTTGGGCGACTTTGGATGAACGTGGAGCGTATTCGATGGGATGGTGGGGCTGTCGGGGAGCGGCATTGGATGGTTACAATTCAAGATTTATTTCCTATTGCTACGTGGTTCAACGCAAGGGTGATTTGTCTCGGAGTAGGCCTAGTACCAACTTGCTACTACCCATGCATCACAGTCTTACCGCTTAGGGCACGCAACGGGGTTCGGTCACCGACTCGAGAGTTTGTGATTGCTACAGTTGGTGGATCACATTTTATCCGTCTTGATCTTGTACCTGATTCACCACTCCCGCCGATCGCCGGTTGGTGGACGCAAAACCACGAGGATAGTGTCAATGGATGGGATCAAGCATATCAAATACAAGCTGCTCAGTCATTGTTCGAGTCTCACTCGACATTTCAGGATACTCAGCTAGTGCTTTTTGGTGAATCTCCATGGAGCGACCCATCCACTGCAAATCAAACAATAACATATTTTAAACACAAAAATTCATATAAGTCATTGTTAATATAATAATAAGCATAAATAATTACGTAATCAGTATTAGTCCGCTCAGGCAGGTTGCTTGTAACTCCTGCACCTGGAGATACCCGCGGGTGAGAAAACATGTACAGCCACTGCATGTAACCGGGCGCAACCGAAGGAGCTGCAGCACTAAGCCTAGGTAGGGCACCTAAAACAACACTCTGAGATACCCCAGGGACAAACCTGTTCCACATCACAGCTGTCATCTCAGTCGGTAAGTCTACCCAATACATCTTCAAGTTAGTCGGCCTCTTGGCCTTCTCTGGCCTAATGATCTCGCGGGGAACGCCTTGCACGAAACCAAGCTGGCGCACCACTCTATCAGGCATGTACGACTCAATGATGTTACGGTACTGGATGCAGCCAATGAATAAAGTGGGGGGCACTCGTAATGCAGGATCAGCTCCGTACGGTAGCCAGTTCACCTCACGGTCAGTAAGCGCATCAATCCTAGTACGAAAAGCTAACAGGCGCTCCAGGTTCTTGCTAGGACATCCCGCTCCTACATCCCAAGCAGACGCACGAGGTATTTGAAGGTCCCGGGTCAAGGTACCCTAATGTGGCCGAAAGCACGGAAAGTACTCGTAAATCCACGCTTGCAGAAGCGTGAGACAACCAGCAATCGAATCAGCACCTTTCCGTGATGTCGTGCCCAGTTGCCGATACAAGTAGGCCAGTGCAGCTGTTCCCCAAGCATACTCGTTAATAGGGACATCCGTGTGACATAGCTCGTGAAGGAAGGAAGGATGCGTACGGTTACCACTCTTGTCTACAAACAGTGTACCTCCAAGCACTAACCACAAGTATGCATCAAGCTGCTCACTAAAATCCCGGTCGACCGCCAATGTCGACTCAAAAATCTTATCAGTCAACACGCCACTACCCTGCCAAATGGTCTTTGTGCCGCAAACCTCAGACAGATCATCTAGAGTCATATCCATGGTGACCGAGCACGCGTCCCGTAACACGTCCGTGCTAGGAGTAGTGGACACCATATTGCCTGCAACCCGTAACCCAAGTATGTTGTACACGTCGTGCAACAAGATCGTAATCTCCCCAAATGGCATGTGAAAGGTGTTCGTATCTGGCTGCCACCTCTCAACAAAAGCAGAAATCAACGGCCAATCAAGTCTCTTAAACATCAGGCCGGGCAAGTGAGACAACCAACTAGCATCAATCGCCGCAATGTCCTCCACAGATTGACGGCCTCGCCAAGTGAACAAGTCAGAACATAACTTTGTCCTACTCAA